TTAAGATATTAAAGGTTTAACGTATAATCGCCCATTAATTCGGTTGAATAATTTGACGACAACGGCAGTAGCGACGTATTCTACTGTTAGAACGTTACCAATCAGAAAGAAAACTTACTATTGATATTAGAGATTCACGACTGTCACAAGAATAAGAGTGTCATATTAATGTTCGACCATCGACGAATATTGATGTCAATCAATAGCATGAAATTCAAAATACTCATATTTTTAATTTACTTAAAAAATTACAGAGGAATTCATTTCCATAATGATCCTAAACAAGTCTTTGATGAGTCTTACTCCAGTAGCATAATTTTATATCAGAACTGATTACACGACATTATGGCCATACTCTTGACCCTAAGTACCTTGGTAATTATTTAAGCACGCTATATTTCGATGCAATACTGTGCACTATGTACCGTACTTCGTTACGGTATCCAGAAGAATGGCAAGCGCGTCACTAACTCACAAGGAACCGGTCTCCTTATACCTGACGACAATCACACGAAACAGGAGTTTGTACATACAGGGTAGGCTAATAAGCGCAGAACTTCATTCAACTATGTTTCGTGACGTTATGGCATTTCCCAATCAGAATGGGTTAAAGAATGTGAAAATATTTAAGGAGTGATGAATCCGAAATAATTTGCTAATACAAAAATTATTTATTATGGACACTAAAAATAACTGAAACTCAAATACTTAGAAGCCAATCTCTTACCATTTTCGCCTTGGATTCGAGCTTGAATGGCAGCATCATCATTAATTTTACCACGATCAGAAGGAACCGTATCAGTTTCTGTTTTCATTTCCGCATTATTCACTGAAATGTTTGAAGACTGTTCGATTGAAGATATTTGCCGAGAAAGTCTGGCACTTTGAGGACTCTCTATAAAAGATTTACCTGAAAAATACTGAGTTACGTCAAAACGGCACAGACCTCTTCCTTCAGATGCACTGGACGATTCAGCAGTAGGAAAAAGTCGCGGAGAAGCAATCTGAGGGATTGCAACTCCGGGAGGAGGGACAACGAAGACAGGACCGGACGTACCGGCCGCCTGTGGAGATAAACTTCTTAGAGACTGGCTTGGAATAATTACAGCAGGTGGCGGAGTGACCGTACTTCTGACCACAGCAACCTGGTTGAAAAAACTGTAGACTAAACTTGACCGAAAACAGTAAAAACGCCTACCGGTGAAGAAACTTCCATCGCCTGAATCTTTGCAGTTACGGCAGCTGCGGCAACCGCGGCAGCAGTCGGTAACGTACTGTTAGATGACGGAACAATGTACTGTTGCGCTTGAGGAGGAGTGATGGCCTAAATGTAAGTACTATAAATATTTTAAAAAACGCTCCAAAGGAAAACGCTCACCCTCCCAACACGAAGATACTGACCTCCAAGGTCGAACAGGTTCATCGATGCTACAGCATCAACAGCAGCCTGTGGGGTATCGTAATCAATGTAAGCATATCCCCTACAATTCATACTCATTAATCTTTTAACGAACATTCAGTTCAGCAAGCGACATTGGCAACAACGGCTTAAGTGTACGCAAAAGACAAGCCAGATTTAATTAGCAGTCGCCGTTGCTTCTTGTCAATTACTGAATTTCCAAGAACAGCAATTACTTATGTTTCCCTTGAAGAGGACCCTTGGGTAGATCGACATTGATAATTCTTCCAAAAGCTTCGAAAACACTTTTGATATCTTGTTCGACAAGATCGGGGTGGATTGATGACACGTATATCCGATTATACTGCTTCGCCTCTTCCATGATCATTTCGATGATCGGTTGGGCCTGGGGCATGTTGCTCGGACGACCAACCTGAAACCGCATCTACACAACATCAATTAAAGTTTATAGTTTCAGGAAGCAGAAATAAATGCACAAAAACTCAACAAAAATATGCAAGTGTAACAGCTAGAATAAAATATAATTTGTTTTAACACGAATAGCTGCAGCAACAAACTTCATAAGTAAAATAAATACACGGTCATTCATCGTGCCTTCTGTCTGTGGATAAATGGTAGAAGTCAGTGTCGAAAAACAATCGTTCAGAAGCAGCAAAACATTACGCTGCTTGTAGGATATCACACAGATAAGTTTGGGTGAGAACAAACCTTTAATTCTTATGCATGTCATAGAAACATGGAGTCCCATAAATGGGCGAAAGCTAAACATTTATTCCTAAACAATGGAATACGAGATGTAAAAAGAACTGCTGATGGAAAATAATATAACAACGACGTATCAATATTCAGCAAGATAAGTTAATCAGCATCTAACTACGATACGTTCTTTTTAAGATTAAGATTCCGAGGGACATCATGACATACTAAGGCTCCATGACATTTGAAATACTGTAGCGAACAGATGCTATTCTACAACTTTACTGGCTAGAGTAGAAATCTGGCAGTGGGAGTACAGCTGGAAAAGGAAACAAAGACTTTTATAGTCAACCTTGTTGACGAGTTTAACTTAATATGTTTTCATAACTTTACATTTCAAACACATAGTTTAATATTTTTTTAGTTAACAGCTTCGTCTGTGCACACATTTTATACAAGAGTTGCGACCTAAGTTAAGTAACGTGTATTATTTCCCCAAAATACCTTTATGTTTCTTCCGCCGATAAGCACGCCGTTCATCTGCTCTTGAGCCAACGTTGCTGCTTCTGGTACTTCATACTCGAGGAACGCGAAGCCCTTGTGATGCTAAAAACGCAGCTAGTGAAATCGTCATAATCATGCTGAATATGTGTTTAATGTCAGTACCCCGGTCACTGGATCCCAGGACATGTTTATTGACTTGATCGGGCCAAAGGGAGCAAATGCGTTTTTGATCGTATCTTCTCTAAGTTCGAAACTGATGCTGCCGATATAAACCCTAAAAAACAAAACGCGCGTTTCACAACTCGCCATCACAACTGACACATCATCAGAAAAAATGAACATTTGTCTAACCACTTATTTGTGTTGCCTCACTACAACGTACTGATAAACTGTGGTACCAAAAAGTTTTACTTAGTCAAGCTATCTTTATATAAGAGTAAATCTGATAGTGAACTTCTATCAAACAGTCAATGAAAAATTCCTAGGGTAAAACAATCCTCAGAAATTTAAGAGTACGTGCGTTCTGATTCGAAAAGAATATAGAAAGCGAAAAGACGCCATTCAAAAGTCGACCATTCCAACGTCATTCGCATGACCGACAATGGGAAAAGCAATTCTACATTTGATATCGTTCAGACTAAAGTGAAAAAAATTAGGAGA